CTAGTTGCTGAGTGTAAGGTTCCTATGTTATCTTCAAGTATAAGGTACAATGTTAAAAAACTGCATAACTATTTCGTCTTCTGACCTTTTCTGACTAAGGTCAGAAGACGAAACAGTATTTTACACTTTTCAACTTATACTAGACTGCTCTCCCTTAGCAAAAGAGTTAAGCTTTAATATTCAATGTTTTATCTGTGTTGCATGATGAGCTGGTTCTTTCAATTGACAATCAGAATGTAAAATGAACATTTTCAGTCAGTAGTAAAGACAAAATAAGTCTAAAGTATAAATATATTTTGAATTTATTGCAATGGAACCATAAAGCATTTTTTTAATGGACATAAAACACAGATGTTTAAAACCACAGTGGATAATGAGGAGATCCAGTGCCGCTTGTATTTGTGTGAGTGTTTCAGTTGTGTGTGTGAGAGCGTTTCAGTTGTGTGTGTGAGAACGTTTCAGTTGCGTGTGTGAGCATTTCAGTTGTGTGTGTGTGCTTTTCAGTTGTGTGTGTGAACGTAATATTTTCAGTTGTGTGTGTGAGAGCGTTTCAGTTGTGTGTGTAAAAGCATTTTACTTGTATGTGCGTGAGCTTTTCAGTATAGTATGTGAATGAGTTTGGTTTCATATGTGTATGTGAGAGGAAAAGTACATGTATATGTATGGTAATTCTGAATAATGTCCCTAGGGGCACCTCATAGCTGAACACATTCAGCCAGGCATATGGTTCATCAGTCCAGAAGATTAAATTGCAGGATCTTCCATCTTTGTAGTGGTCAAGGAACAGGATTTCTGGTCTTTCTCTGAGTATTGTTTGTTTATATTTTCCTCTTGCAGTTTTGCTTTTGATAGCTGGGGGGTAGTCAATGATTTCAGAGTGTGTAGACATCGTGAAACAGTTGATGATCTTCAAGCTTCTGTGTTCTGAGTTTAAAACAGCACTACTGCTGTTTGATGCCGTTGCTAGGTAACCACAGTCCAGTGTTAGCTTGTTAGCTATTAGCTTGAGTGTTTCAGTTGGGACTTGTTTTATGGTAATAAATGCAAAAACTTACTGATTTCAGTGTCCAGTAGTTTGCTCTAACTTGCTTGAGTCCCTCTATCCTCTTCTTTGTTTGTTTTTGTTCTCTCCTTTGTTCGCTCCTTCTTCAAACTGTATCTCTTTAGCTTCTTTCTCTTTCTTTCTCCTTCTTTTTCCTCTTTTTCTCTCCTCTGGTGTATTGTGGTCACTTCTTTTGCATTTTCCTCGTCGGTGTTTATCCAATTTTTGGACCCAAAACAAGCGTTTTGTTTAGCAGTAAATCTTAAACATGACTTCTCTCTATATATTGGTTTGAGGTTAGAAGATAGACACAGTGGATATTTTACAAGCACCGATCAGGTAAAGCAACACTGAACACACCTGGTTCAGAATAAATAATATCCATTCATCCATTAACTATACCCACTTATCCTTTAGCCTACAGTGTCAAATACCATAGGCTTAAGCTATTAATGTTTAATAGGAAGTTACAGCAGTTATAACCCCCAGTCATGGTGGCTCGAGTTGAATTAAACATCACAGCTGCTGAGAGGGAATTTAGGCTTTTAGGGAGGGATGACAGCCTCAGCTCTAAAGGAAAAGGGTGCGCTGGATTTATAAAACAAAACAAGCTGCAGAGAGCCCCCAGCTGTAGTGCATGGATCATGCGTAAAATTCATCCAGCCAGAGGGAACGATCACGAACAGTTCACAACGCGCCGGTCGTACTACACAACCCATTGTAGGTACTGGAGAGGGAGTGGTGTTCTGGCGCGCAGGGCCAGGGCCAGGAGATCGTGGAGTGGCCGGGCGTGCTGCAGACGGTCAATGATTGTTCCCTCTGGCCAGAGGAAGCCAGACGCTTCTGATTTTAAAGAAATATAGAAATTACCTTAATAACAAAAAAGCATACTGTCAATATTTTAGAAAGTTCATGTCTTACTAAGAAGAGCTCAGCTCCCCCATAGTTCGCACCCTGGGTGGTAGCCAATGTCGTAATTGAGATTAAAATTTAATTAATTGCACAGCGCTAAGTTGATGCGCTGCAGAGTTGAAGTCACGAGTCATTGGTGTTAAAGTCAAAGTCGAGTTGCAAGTCTTTGATTTTGTTGAGTCGAGTCTAAAGTCATCATTTTTGTGACTGCAGTGCACACCTCAAATATGCACTTTTGACACAGGACTCCCCTACAAGACGGGGCAACTTTCTCAGGCCTTCTCATGTGAGTTAAGATGGTCATTTAGTGGCAACATAATCCAAAGGAAATTTGCAATCAAATTGCCACAAATTAACTGACATGCAATGAGGCATGACACATGGCCCTGGGGGAACTGTTCATTATTCACGAAGTGGAACACAGATGGCTGCTTTGATCAGTTCAGTGATCTGGCATGAATTTGCCATACTGTGATATACAGTATATTGATAGTGGTAAATATCCGTATTAATATCATGATGATTTCAGCCATGTCATCATGTCACCCTCATGATATTGGTGTAGATCATTATTCAATAATTGGTTCTTTCCAAAGTTATAATAGAGTTCAAGGTGTTCAGCTGAATGAGAGTAACAGACACCTGAGATAATTCACATTTTCTTTTCCTTTCCTATCCTGTCCTCTGGAACAAGCTGCCTGACTTGAGATCTGTCACCACTGGGTCAACTTTCAAAAGCAAACTGAAACTGTTTCTATTTTCTCAGGCTTTTGATTTGTTACTGTATACATGTATCTGTACTTAATGCCTGTGGTGTGTCTGGATTTGGATTCCTTACTGTCCTTGTGTGTGTTAGACAAGTATTTTAATGTGAAGCTGTTAAGTTTACTCTAATTTGATGTCCTGTATAAATAGGACAGCTGTGCAGGATAGGGCTGCACAACTGACAAGAAAATCCAATGCCAAAGCAAGAGTCTTAAAATTCCCATAAGCTACAGAATAAAAGTCATTTTTACCATCAAAGAGAAAAACAAAACACAAAAATGTTATGGTACTTGAGGCTGCTTCAGACAAATAACAAATACTCTCCCAGTCATGATGCACTGACAATTTAAGAATCCTTGAAGAGTTTTCCTCAGAGAAAACACATTGCTGGGTGGGACATGAAGAGATTTACATATGAGCAGCTCAAATATGGCATACAGCCAAATGATGACACTTTTAAGTTAAATTGCCCACAATCTTCATATTGCCACAAACGTGTTCCTGTTAATATTCTGCAAAGATATTGGGATTTTAAAAAAATAACAGCTATAAAAATGGAACCGAACAATCTCGACCACACCATGTTGCTCTTCACAGTCAAATATCTACCTGTGTTATAATTAAAAAAATGTGGAGCGCGCAGCCGTTACCCCGGTTTCTAAGCGTGAACCGGGTGAGAACTGGCAGAAACAAACGGTCCTCAGGGAGTTATTAGCGGAGAGAAAGAGGTTTAAATGGATGCACAATTGTCGTGGAACATGTGTGAACTGTTTTCAATGTGCCTGTCTACAACATACAAGTTGATTTTAGAATATGTAGGCTTAAAACAAGTTTGATGTTCAGATAAGCACGGACGTTTCTGTGGTTATTTTACAACTGTCTGGTTACACAAAATTTAACCAGCGTATCTTCCATGCGTAATTGTGGCTTGGCAGTGCACAACATCACTTCAGTTAAAGGCGGACCAACCTACTGCCTTCAAATGACTGCAAAGGGAGTAAATAAGAGACTTTCAATGAAGGCAACCTGATATTGCTCATCACTCATAACTGAAATAAAACATTTTTTCAGTGTGATCACATGTCAGCTGGTTGAAAAAAAAGGATACAAGTGGAAAGACGAACAAAACATGAATAAGAAGGATTAAGTTTCAGATAAGTGTATATAGGCGCGTTTCACCATCACCAAATACAGTGATAAAGTATTATAGAGCTGCGTAAGACTCACTCATCGTTGGCAACAAAATTGCAGTGCGCATAGCATCGCCACACACTCTCCTCTGACTGTGGCGCAAGTTACCAAGATACTAAACCTCAGTGCGCCATAGCTGACACCAAAATAGGCCCGAGATTTGGTGTTCACAAAATAAGAAAGATGATTAACATGATAAAAAACGGCTTGTAGGTAAAAACATGTGGACGTTTGTTTTCAAAAGTTGGTTTTGGAAAAAGTGAACAAATGTGCTATGGCCAGTTATGTTGAGCAGTTTGGAGTGGTAGAGCAGCGTGCAACACCCATCCCCCCTCCCCCCAGCGCGCGCGCTAATGGAAGAGGAGGCGCTCCAGTGGTTTATAGACCGATCAAACCAACCAGGCTGATACTGTCCCTTGTCATTTTGCGCGTCAGAGTCTAGGAATGAATTCTGACTGAAGCAACAGCTGCAGTGACAGCAGTTGAGATTCGTTCAGCGCGAGCCGTCATTAGCGCTCACTGGCAGCTCCGCTCCTAATTGCAGGTAAGCTGTTTTTATCCGCTCTAAAATTAGTTCAATTCAGATTTCTTTCCTTCTCTTTTCCCTCTTCCTCCGGGACAAAAACCAGGCAAGTGCCTTTAGTTAAAAGAAGCAATGCCTGTGGAAAATTAAGGTGGAGGAGGGTCAGAAGTTCAGCAAATAACTGTTCTTCGGTGTTATTTTTTACTGGCATTTTATTCCTGATCGGTGCTATTTGGTATTTTTCCGATACCTTACGTCTTTTTCTTTCCTGTTTAAAAAATAATTAATTTAGGGTTAGTGCCATGATGGTCACTGTGTAATCACGTTGTATGCTTCTGAGTATCAGATAAATAACGGGGTGATCATTTTTTGCGCGTTAATAAAATCTGCATGTGCCAGGTATTCCCACAGAACAGTTTGAACGATGTATAGCCATGTTAAAGGTACCACTAACGCACAGCATGTACGCTTTGTGGCATATATAAAACACACAGATCCAGTCAAGCATGAAAAGAAATCGGACAAATACTTTCTTTCTGTCTTTTCATTTTCACAGTTCGAGTTTCAGATGCAGATGGAGAAGAAAGATAGTCTGTGAGTAGCCGGGATTATTGCCTTGGTTTTATCTGTGTCACCCCTCAGTCAGACTCCGGTGTTCAACATGTTCCACCAGCTGACGGATCAAACGGTGAATGGCAGCTGTAAGGGACCCACCTCGGTGTGCAACAAGAGCGCTGATGGAGACGCACTCCAGCTACCCACTTTCTCCACCGCGGCCAAAGCCAGAGTCATCATCACCTTCACACTGTGTGCAGTGTCAGCTGTGTGCAACTTGGTTGTGCTGTGGGCTGCGGGAAACGGCGGCAAGCGCAAGTCACACGTCAGGATCCTCATCATGAACCTGACGGTGGCGGACCTGCTGGTGACTTTCATCGTGATGCCTGTGGACGCAGTGTGGAACATCACGGTGCAGTGGCAGGCGGGAGACGTCGCCTGCAGGCTGCTGATGTTTATGAAACTGGTGGCGATGTACTCCTGCGCTTTTGTAACTGTAGTCATCAGCTTGGATAGACAGTCTGCCATCCTCAATCCTCTGGGCATCAGTGAGGCCAAAAGGAAAAGTAAAATCATGTTGACTGTGGCCTGGACCATGAGTGTGATCCTCTCGCTCCCTCAGGTAAGATGTATGATCAAATACAGCCCTCCCTAAACATTCACATGTGGCTTCTGGCTATGACACACCTCTCACATCTGGCCTTTTATGTGCTGGAGAATGAAACCTTGTTCGGAAAGCAAATCATTACTGCAAGTGTGCATTCCTCTTGTGAATCCAGCTTATTGAGTTTTGCTGAAAAGGAAGATCAAGGTTAATTCAATGATCTGCAAAGGGAAACATGACATTCAACAGTGTAACAGTAAAATGCAGTTTGCTCACTGAATCTGCAGTGCTGGTTGCAGAAGACAAAATTAAAACACCTAAAAAGGTGTACTTTGCCTCCGCTTGTCTATTAAGTTTCATTGTGAAAGGTACAATGTGATCAACATGATCAATCAAATATAAAGAAGTAACAGTTCTGAAGTCATGTCAGAGAAGGCTATGTACTGTGTTGATGTTAGCATGCTAAAAAGCGAACCCCTGTCTGTACTGTTTCATAATACCACCTCAAGAGGCGATAGTCTGATAGTAGTATCAGGCATCCCCCCATATTTTTAGCTAGGAGATGTGTGCAGACAGAGAGTTCGCTATGTTACACAAGCTCTCTTTTAGCCCAAGAAATAAACAAATAAACTCACAAAATGTCTGACAGCAAGTATTCTCACTACTATTTTCCTTATCAAATAGAAAAGTTCAACTGTACATCTTCTGAATTACATTTTTCCTCATTAATTCCTCATTATCTCATTGTAAACACATTTCATTCAGACTTGACAGAAACAAATTAAAACTCACCTAAACCATATTTGTTAGTCTCTCCACTGTTCCAAAAAAAAAATGAAAATATTCTGTCTCTTCTTCACACTGTCTCTGTCTCTGTCTCTGATGCCCGACCTCCCTCTTGCTCCTCTCCCTCTTGACTCCTCTCTGAACGCTGTGTCTAGTTGTACCTGAAGTCAGAGTCCTGGTCGAGGCTGCTGTAAATCACCTCGGTACTGTATTCCCTGTCATCAAACTGGCATTCGTCGGTTCTGGTCTGGCCGTGATCAGTGGCTGCTGAGCCCAGCTCCATTGCCTGCTCTTCAGGCTCCACTTCTGGTGCTCGTTTCGGACTCAGCCAGCTTATAGGATCACTAAGTTAGCTGCACGGCAAACTGAGTTAACTAGCTAACAGCTTATGACCTGATATCCTGCCACCTAATTTGTTGGAGTATGAATTTGACAGGTGAAGATAGTGTCGATTCTTACACATTGTACCTTTAAAATATAGTTTGATAGTTTTTATTTCCAAGTTGTGGGAAGTTTCCCAATACTTAACATTAGTATGGATATGATTTACTCCTGGATATAGGCCTACAAGCACAAGGTCATGGTTGCTGGTTGCAAAACAACCTGTGAAATTCATAACAGTCCTTGAATTGGTTTTAACTTCTGAACACAAATGAGGCAGCTGCTTGCATGTATCAAATTGGATTTCTGGACAGGTGTAGCATAATGTCCAGAGATTGCTGACCCGAATGCTTATCAAGTACCTAATCAGGTGTAAGATAACCAGTTTGTTTCCTCAACCTAATCCATTTGGACTGGACCACACTAGGAAGTCAAGATCTAACAACAAAAAATCTCATTTAGGCTCAGAATGAGTATGAGTTTAGATTGTACAATTGACCCTTCGCTAAGCCCCTTCCCCTTAGTTACTGTTGCTAAGTGCCACTGTCTATTACTGCACTACCCGGAGAAATATTGTTAAATTTGTTGGAAATAGCGATCTCAGAAAGAAGCAGACAGTTTTGCAGTTGCACTGTGCATTTGAAGGTTGTATTCAGGCTGTCAAACTGACGTGAAAAAAATGAAAGATAGAAGCTAAAGCCTACCAATCACACAGTACAAGTGAACCACCGCATCCCCCGACGATTGAGACAAAAGACAACGATATTAAGGATCAACACTGTTCCTGTACAGCTGGGTAGGCCTCTATTCATTATTACAATCATTAATAAGAAGAACAGTAGGACTTTATTACGTTACATTCAGTAGAAAGTTAGCTAGCGTTAGCTAGTTAACATTACATTATGAACAATCCACAGCCGACATTTTTCTGGAATTATGTTAGGTTTTGGAAAGTGAAGAATAAATTGTACTTCTCCTTTGAACCTCTCCGGGTAGCAACTGTAATTATTACAAGTGCCCCAGGAACAGCGTTTGAACATCTCTTGGAAAAATAAAAAAGCTAGAAAATAACTCATTTTGCATTAGAGTCAATGGAGCGCAGCCATGAACGTGTCGGACCTCAGTTAGAGTGAGTCCTATGCTGCACTGTGATTGGCCAGCTGGGTTTGGTTTATTGTGGCAGCGACCTCTAGTTCTCTGGCTGTAGAAAGTCAGAGTAAACGTCACGGAAGTTATAGGTCATGTGACTAACTTAATGCACCTATTTTAACCCAAACCAGATGTTTTGCTTAACTTAACCAAGTAGTTTTGTTGCCTAAACCTAACCAAACTCTTTTACAACGTTAACCATATGTTTAACTTCACGCAACTTATGTACCGTAGTTAAGGTCCAGTCGCCTGTTGCTGGACTGGTATGGAAACGGTCATATATGCAGTTTTGGGAGGCATTGAAAAAATGACTTATTTTGTTGCTTAGGTTTGAGGACTTGTTTCTGTTTGTTGCTTTGGAGAGTAATTACAAATTGGTTATGAATTTTGTCAACTAATTCAATTTCAACATGATTATTTATTCCAAAAAGTTCATTTGTGCTAAAAACATATATAAAAGCATACAATGTATGGAACCATACATTGTGAGGACAAAGAAGCGGCCTACAGCCTGACTGATAATTGAATAATAATTGATTATTATCTATGTTAATGTGAAAAAATCCAATTATAATTTTAAGGAGTCATTGCCAGTGGTTATTTGTGTATTTGTAGTAACAGGTAATAAATTTAATTGTCAAGCAAACTGGTGAGGGTCCAGGCTGGCTGAGATGTTATTTATGTGCTGTAGAACCAGTTTCTCAAAGCACTTAGGGGTGAGTTCCAGAGTTCCTCACCATCACGCCTGCATTACCTCCTCGGCTTCTTATTCTTAACTCCACTGGGATCTCCTTTGGACATGCACGTCGATCCTGATATTGTAGGAGTTCCTCATGTGACTGTACCCACAGTGTTTTGTTGTTTGGTGCCCATTTCTGGTGTTAGTCCTATTTACAACAATCCTACTTACATATAAAATTACCTTTACAAATACAGTGTTAAATAGTTTGAAAAGTTAAAAAGTTAACTATGAAATATAAAAAATATTATATGTAACTTGGACATGGGAGAGGAAGCTGCTGTGTTGGGTTGCCACTCTCTGCGGCACCAGAAGGCAGAGTGACCCAGTGCTCCTGATGGCCAGTACGACTACATTCTCAGTCGACCTTCCCGAGGCATTAGCACATCACGATGCGTTAGATTAAGTCTCCTGGTTGGTCAGTGCTAGATTTGTGTCCAACTATCGTCACATATAGCCAGGTTTTCTAGTGGTTCATACCAGGCTCTAAATTGAATCCACTACTGGCTGTATGTGCAGTGTTTCACTTGATGTTGCCCAATAAGAATTCAGAATCTCAACAAAAGGCACTAGTGTCTGAAAACCGTATGGACATGAAAGAAGCAGAGGCAAAAACGGTAATATCAGATGGGGCAGTGCGGGCAGGGCATCAAGGCCACTGTTGGTCCCAGGGCATATATTTTTGAGGGCCATAGGGCCAAACTGAGGGGGCACGGCAGCAATGGCCTTCATGAAATTTCTGCCCTGCTCACAAATCATTGACATGAAAGGTAAATAACTCAGTCTAACTGAGAACCATGTGCACACTACAGGACAAATCAAGTAAGAAATAGTGGTAATGGGTCATTAATTTGTGGGATCACAATTATCAATCAGTCTATTCAAGTCAAATCAACTGACATCACATTCACCAATTAGAAAAAAGAAGAAACAAGATGACAGAGACGTTAATTTCTTTACTTATTTTTTACTTTAATTTTATTCTAATTCTTATTCAGTGCACCCTGCACCATTTTATTGAAATGCAAATGTAAGGCTCAGGCATTTATAAGTACTCAGGAGCCATTTCTTTACGAGTGGTCTGAGACATCTCTCAATTTCTTGCAACAATAAGTCAGAACATACTGACAAGTACCATAATTTACTTGAAATTCATTACCTTGAATTACCAAATAAGACTAATAATACATTGCAGGCATCACATCCTGTAATTATTCCACAGCTTTGTGGTGTTGAAGAACATCTACTGTAAATTTCGACCTATGCCACTGTTTGCTGATTCATAGTGTTTGGCTTGTATCTTGCTTATTTCCAAGGACACTGTACAGTAACAAGTAATGCTGCAGATTTCATGACACTACAGCTACCCTGCATGGGTCCTGATTTAGACTTAGACCAAGAACCTGTGACCTCTGAGAAACCCCTTTCTGCAACGGCTCTTCGAAAGGCTGTAATTGCAAAAACCTATTTGTTGTTTGTTGTTTTTGAACCTTTGAAAGATCAAAAGGGAACAAACCCTCAAAAGGATCTTGCATATAGATGTATTGCTGCAGTGTTTGTGTACTAAGACGGTCATCAGGCAACAATCTGAAAATATGAAACCCAATTGCGCAAATAAGACTTTATTCGTAATGATCCTGATGATGTGGACAACGACATGTATGATTTAAGATTTATTATCAGCTGAGCTACAGCAATAATAGCCATCATAGCTGCAGCAATTTAAGTTTAAAAACAAAAGGTGTACTGTAGAAAGAAAGCTGACTCCTATACTGTCTGTGTTGGTAGTGGATGTACTGTAGATCATGAGCTGTGAAATCAATGATTATGAAATAGAGGATTGGCATACTGGCACTACTGTCCTGGTCTATGCGTTATACTTACAAATCCTTTTTGTTTTGGTTGAAAGTTGCAGGGAGACATAAAGCCAATTAATGTCTCTGACCCAGAACATGGGACTCCA